ACCACAGCCAATGTAATCCTCAAGCTGCGCCGTGATCCACGCCTGCTATACAAACTTCCGCCATACCTATCCGCCCTCCTCGTCGTCGTCGGCGTTGTCTGGCTCCTTCTCCTCCCCCTCAACGAGTACTCGCGCCAAACATACATCTCCGAGAACGCGCTGCTGCCGGGTCAGGTACATACATATTTTGCGGGGAGTGACCAGAATATCTTTCGTGGGTATAGACGGGAGATTGATACGGTGAAGGATGAGGGATATGATGTGTAGGTGGTTCTCGTTATTTATTTGGAGGGGCGGAGGATGAGCATATTCTGGTTGAACCCTTGGGATATGGTATCGGACATTGTTACATCTCCGAAATGGTTTATACTGGGTATTGAGGCTAACTTTGCTTCGTTATGGATGGTATAGGATCTCGCAGAAAATCCAGTCAATCTTTCAAGAGTCGGGATTGAAAGTCGCAACGCAAGACTACGAGTATCGGTCCGCTGGCAACGTCCATACCGGCCAGAATGTTTACAGTGTCATACAAGCTCCTCGGGGAGATGCGACGGAGGCAATCGTTTTGGTCGCAGCATGGAAGACTATCGAGGACGAGCTTAACCTCAATGGCGTGACGTTAGCCTTGACATTGGCCAGATATTTCAAGCGTTGGTCTCACGAAATATTTCATTCTGACGTTTTTGGTATGGTGCTAATACCGAATTGACAGGATGGTCACTATGGTCCAAGGACATTATCTTCCTAATTACACCAGATAGCAAAGCGGGCGCGCAGGCATGGATTGACGCTTATCATGACATGCATCCCCCATCAGTCCAGCCGCTTCCGCTGAAAAGTGGCGCTTTGCAGGGCGCCTTGGTATTCGAATACCCCTTCGACCACCGATTCGAGACCCTCCACATCGTGTACGACGGCGTCAACGGACAACTGCCCAATCTAGATCTATTCAACACGGCAGTTTCAGTCGCCAGCGGCCAAATGGGCATTCGAGCCAGTCTGCAGAAAATGTTCGAGCATAACGACAGCTACAAAGAGCGTCTGGAAACCATGCTTCGGGGAATGGTTAACCAGGGTCTAGGCCATGCTGCGGGGCTCCATAGTAGTTTCATCCCGTACCATATTGATGCAATTACGTTGCAGACAATTGGTCATGGATGGCAGGATGAGATGGCGCTTGGCCGGACGGTGGAAAGTCTTGTGCGGAGTCTGAATAACCTCCTAGAGCATCTTCATCAGAGCTTTTTCTTCTATATCCTGATGCAAGCGAACCGATTCGTCAGTATCGGCACCTATCTTCCTAGCGCGATGCTGATTGCTGGGAACTTTACGATCATGGCTGTTGGGCTGTGGATGAAGAGCGGAGTCTGCACTTCCTCTTCAGCTCGCAACACGGAGAAATCAAAGGAGAAGAACAGCACCGTTGCTGAGCAGGAAGGAAACGGTATTCAAGAGCGCCATATGGCCCTCCCATTGGCACTTGTGTTCGGCCTGCACTTCCTAGGCCTTATCCCGCTCTACACATTCAACCACATCTCACATCAAGTACGTAATAGCCAACCCCCTACCCATCCCACCCCGAAACCCCCCATGAAATCTTCAACCCAACCACTAACCCAACAAACAGTACTTCGAGCAAGCCACCCACATCCTCACACTAACAAACCTCCTCCTCCCCCTCCTCCTCGCCGCCCTCCTAACCCACCTCCACCCCCCAACCCCACAACAATACCTCCTGATAAAATCCTTCTCCCTCCTCCTCCTCGGCCTCTTCCTCTCCACCCTCGCCACCCTAAACTTCTCCCTCTCCCTAATGACCGGCCTGCTCTGCACCCCACTAACTTACATCGGACACATCCAATCACCAACGCCGCCAAAAGCCAATAATACCAAACAACCCAACACCAAAAAGCCACCAACAACAATCCTCCTCTCCCTCCTCGGCCTATTATTCATGAACATGCTCTCGCCCACGACCCTGCTACTTGCGGCATGTAGGTACTGGCAGATTCCGGTGTCGACGGTGCTGACTGAGGCGGCGTTTGGGTGGGATGTGTGGGGCATGTGGACGCAGGTGGTTGTTTGCTGTGTGTGGTGGCCCGCGTGGTTGTGTGGGTGTTTGTTAGTTGCGTCGTCTCTTTTTTGAGGAGGATGGCGGGTATGGGAAGTGGAACGGGATTCGGGGGGATGGGTATATTGTCGAGTCCCATCCCTTTCGTGTTTTGTTTTTAACGAGAGGAGAGGGGTTTAGGAGAGGTAGCAGCAGCCGAGATACGGGTTTTATTTTTCTTTTTATTATATAATTTTATATTTTTCTATGTTTGTATACCATGCTAGGATAGAAGGGTAAAACGATATCATATTTCTTTAACTTGGGATTTTCGCGTGTTGGCCCTTGCAAGGTTGAGATGACTTGAAGCAGATTCTATCTGGCTTTTTAAGTGGCCCATCCCAGATACAGACCCTATCTAAGAGCAGATTCTATGGACGTGCGCAGCATGTTACACCCTGGAAACAAAGCCCAAAAAGCAATGTTCCCCCCTAGGACATATGGGCTTAAATTCACATTGATTTTATGATAGTCTTACACGGCGCAGGCCGGTGGGTAATAAGAAAAAACAGCTCTGAAGGAAGCTAGTGCTTAAAACGACCATAACGGGAGAGATGGTATACGAGAAAGCCAACTACGCAGCCCAAACATCCTTCCCAACCCCTTCGATCCAGTGGCCCAGCTGGTTAACACCAGAATCCCACTCGCGCAGCCGTTTTCTCATCCCGTCAATCTGCCCCATGTCCAGTACCTTCGGCTGCACCCAGCTAATCCGCGCAATCCGCGCAACCTGATCGATCGTCCCTTTGAGCAGCCCCAAACTAAGCGCCTTCATGATCAAATGCTCAATCTCGTTCGGCTGCACCTTGGTCTCCTCCGATATCGTCGCGAAGGTCATTGTGCGGTCATGCGGGGGCCGGCGGAAGACGGTCTCCGTCAGTGCCGCGAGGGAGATCTTCTGGTAGAGGAAGAGCTTGTGCTGTTCCAGTAGCTGGTTCTTGCTGATGTTGCCCGCGAGCACGTCGTAGGCGGTAAGGTCACCGCGGTTGAAGGCGAAGAGCAACTCGCGGAGCCAGGCGTGGGGGCCTTCTTTGAGGGAGTCGAGGACGGGGTGAAGGAGGAGTTCACCAAAGTTGTAGATGGAGTCGGAGACGAGGGCGGCGACGGCTAGGTCGTAGGCGCGCGCGGCGCAGTCTTCGTCTGTTAGGTCTTTGACGTCAACGCAGGCGAGGTAGAGGAGGGCGTTTTTGTAGTAGGAAGCGAATTCGAGCTTAGCCTGTATATATTTAGCGGTTAGGGGGGAGTAAGAAGTGTTTCAGGCCGATGGAGTGGCGGACTTACGTGGTAGTAGTCTGCGTTTACTTTGTAGAATGCAGCATGTACAACAGTCTCGACGGAATCGAAAGAGTCCAGCACTGCCTCTGAAGCATCTAGATCTTTCCGCGCTCCCTCAAAATCCTTTAGCCGCAACTTGACGCTAGCCACATCTGCCATGGCATAAACGTATGCATCTTGCGATCCAGGTTTGTTCACTCTTTCGGCCAATGAGGTAAGGAATGCAAGTCGTTCTTGGTCATCTGTGGAGAATAACGCAGTCAGTAATCGGTCTTGATAGCTACACATCTCCGTATTGGGAAACAGAACATACCTTCGCACTGTGTAGATGCCATCAACCCCAGCGTCACAAACTTCAGCTGATTGATCTTGTCCGCAAAGCTAAGGATAAAATGCTTGTAAATGGCGAGTCTCTGAGGGGCGCTCTCGGGGAGGCAGAAGAACTCTATCAGAGCGTTTGTAAGTTGATGCCATAGCTTCCGCTCCCAGAAATCTTCGAATAGGATGAATGATTCATGAGATTCGCTGAGAGCTTCTTCCCGCTGCTCAGCGAGGAAATCGGGGATCTTGTCGGCCTGCATGGCAGGCAGAGGGAGGAACTGGCGTGTCTGGAGCTAGAAGATGTGCCCAACGGCAGTGTGGTGGTGGGAGGTGAAGCGGTCGGGGGTGTATATGGAGGGCGACGTATTGATTCAGGCGGGGTGGCTGTGGGTAGATGCGAGATGTAGCTTGTCTGATCTTGTGTCTGTCCAGGTTGCTCTCGGCGGTGGTTGGCGATGTTGGATGAAGCTCGATTGGTTGCTGCGGTCTCCCGTAGCCGGCGTGGCTGAGTAATCCAGCCCTGTTCAGTTCAGCCTCCCCCTGCTCTCTAGATTGCTGGAGGACAATATATCTCAGTTGAATACTCAGAGTTTCTTAGTGGAGATTCCTTCCCGTCTAGTTCTATTATTCCGCTTTCAGCAATCTGGAAATACAACCTCTAACCAGTTCAATTGCTATCAACCACCCCCTGTTCGGCGCCTCCAGATATGTGTATTCAGTTAAGTTGTTTGTGTCGAGCTTTTTGCTCTATTCCAGTTTGTTTATTCCGTCTAACTAGTTTAGTAGTTGCCTCTTTGCACGATATGAAGATTGTTCATGGTTACCAGATTCACGCGTCAGGGGCTCTAGACAACTTTCCGGTCAATATATATATTTCCCGCATAGCTATCAACACCGTCCATCCGGCATGCAAGTACCACCTCAAGGGACTGCTTCAATTCAGTATTAGCCATCTGCTACATATTCCGCCGGACCGGACGTCGCAGTGGATTAGTCCCAAGGCGAATGTCGGCCAACCTTGAATCTATGGCTACAGAATACTATCCATTAGTGTCCATGGATCTTTCCTTCGTTGACGAGAGCCAGCGTTCTTTGTTTAGAGACAAGTCATACGAGTTGAGGCCGTCCATACCGATATGGGTACGTTTCGCCATACCGCTCCATGCCAAACGGCCCACGAAACAAAACCTATCAATATACGCAGAATCCACGCCTGGATCGCTACGGGGAGGGAGTGATCTGGGGGTGGAGATCTTGCAAATGCCACGTCGAGGACACAGACCAATATCAAATAGGGCGATTGGTTTAGTGGTATAATACCCCCTTAGCACCCGGATTTCGATCCAACAGACTTGGGGGTGGTCCAGGGTTCGATTCCCTGATCGTCCATTTTTTTTGGATTTTTTTTTTCGCAATTGCTTGATCATCCGTCCAGTCTATATAGCTGCCTATCTATTTTATTTTGCTGCTTAGGTTTTTTCAGCCTTATTTGGCCCCTGGATGGAACGAGGAGCAGTTGAAGGCTTTAATACATGCTGCGTCTTCTCTGCTTTAACCCGCTTGAATGTCAAGTAGAAAATACAAGCCGTAGTAGCGTTACCTAAGCGAGGAGCGTGATTGGCCTGGAATTTACCTGCGCTAAACCCCTTTGGGCGCGCTGGCAGGACGCTGACTTCCGACATCACGAACAAACAGTAGAGAGCTCCAGCACCAGACCACGCTCCAGCAGCGATATATCCCATCCGCCCTGCGCCCCCCGGCGGTTCCGTGACAATCTTCCCCCCAAGCCCCGGTACATGGTCAATTGACCGGATTGCAATGCAGAAGTGCCGCGCCATCCAGGGCGCTCTGGGCTCACGGGCTGCCGTCACCCCACTGCCAGCAGTCCGAGGCCAATCACACATCCAACGACGAAATATACAAGATGTCTACATCACCCGCACCGGGACGCCCATTATAAAGGTCCAGGGTGGACGGTATGGACCAATTGCTCCCTGCGTGGATGGATGATGTGCTAACAGTTCGTGCCAATTGCAGCTCGTCTCTCGGAGGTATTTCAACCACAATCGCTCTTCCGCAGGCTCCCCTTTGCTCAATGGATTTATAGGACATACCGCTACGGTTTTTGGTGCAACTGGCTTTCTGGGTCGTTATATTGTGAACAGACTCGGTATGTACAGTGATATCCCACGAGTCTTGGGAGGGATAATGGCTAACGGACATTGCGCAACAGCCCGCCAAGGATGCACTGTGATTATTCCCTACAGAGATGAGATGGCTAAGCGCCATCTGAAGGTCACTGGCGATCTGGGAAGAGTCATCTTCATGGTGAGATACGGCCTTGCTTCGCTACCCTGCGTGATCCACCCTGGCTGATAAGTCTTGATGGACAGGAGTACGACCTCCGAAACACACAATCGATCGAAGAGAGCGTGCGCCATTCGGACGTCGTATACAATCTTATTGGCCGAAGATATCCCACCAAGTATGTTGATCACCTCCCGACGTAATTCTTTGGTACAGCTTCACCATACTAATCAATACTTCACAGGAACTTCTCGTACGAAGATGTCCACATCGACGGTCTCGAGCGGATTGCGGAAGCGACTGCCAAATACGATGTCGACCGCTTCATCCACGTTTCTTCCTACAATGCAAACCCCGAATCACCATCTGAATACTTCCGCACCAAGGTACGTCTCAGAAATGACGGCCAATATGCCCCCGCTAATTCTCGCATAGGCTCGGGGCGAGGAACTTGCCAGATCCATATTCCCAGAGACGACCATCGTGAGACCAGCGCCCATGTTCGGATTCGAGGATAACCTGCTCCACAAGCTAGCTTCGATGACAAACCTGTTCACCTCCAACCACATGCAAGAGCGATACTGGCCCGTCCACGTAGGTCGCCTGTCAGCATAGTGAGGAACAAGCGCTAACATTATTCCAGGCCATTGATGTCGGCCATGCTCTTGAGAAGATGCTGTTCACTGATGCGTCAGTTGCGCAAACATACGAATTGTACGGACCCAAAAACTACTCGACTGCCGAGATCGCCGAGCTCGTCGACCGCGAAATCATCAAGAAGCGTCGCCACGTCAACGTCCCCAAGCGTATCCTGAAGCCCGCTGCCCATTACCTTAACAAGCTCCTCTGGTGGCCAACCATGTCCGCTGATGAGGTCGAGATGGAGTTCCTCGACCAGGAAATCGACCCCACCGCCAAAACTTTCAAGGATCTTGACATCGAGCCCGCTGAACTCAGTAACCTGACTTTCCACTACCTGGTACGTACAATCTCCTGCCTAGTCGTTTTAAATACCCGCAGACTAATATTCTTATTTCCAATCTACAGCAAGGATATCGAAGCGCCCAGTATTCTGACCTCCCACCAGCTACGGAGCGGGAGAAGATGGAAGAGAAGAAATATCTTCACGTCCTTGATGATCAGTAGTTTACTGGCATTTTCCTAAAAATGTGTATATATTTATACTTGACTAGACACAATCAATTTCATACTTGTCCTTTTTCTTTTTCTTCCAGTGAAGTTTTACCTGTTTGTGGTGGGGCTTGGTGGGCAGCGAGATGGTAAATTTCCGACGCGTACACCGTGTTTGTAGACGAGAACAGTCCCGGAGGATCAATTTCAATATTATTATTTCATTATCCTTGGTAGGTAGCTATGTCGTCAACTTCCAATGTCGACAGTAGAACTTTTGTGGGGTTGATCGTTGAAGCGGGATATCCGACGTCTGACATCACTCCGCTCCGCAAACCACCACCGCGGACTTTTCAACATTGATATCGAACTCCCTCCATATTCCACCCATTCCAGCCTCCCACGGGGAAAAATCAAACATTTTTTTTGCCATCTCCCATTCCCCTCCACAGCACCAGAACCCAACACCGATACCGATACCGATACCAACCCCAATGCAATCGCAATCCCACCCGCAACAATGACACCCACCACCACCACCACAAACCCCAACCCCCCCATCTTCCTCCTAAAAACCAAATCCACTCCACACGACGGCTACTCCGAATACTTCTCCAAGACCTACAACCCCCTCTTCGTCCCCGTGCTCGAGCACAAATTCCACACGCAAAACCTGCACCGAGTCCGCGACCTCTTCGTCTCCGGCGCCATCTCCAAGCTCTATGGCGGGCTGATATTCACGAGCCAGCGGGCCGTCGAGGGGTTTGCGAGGGTGCTTGGGGAGGAGGTTGGAGGTGTGTTTGTGTTTCCCTTTTTTTTTTTTTTTTCCTGCTTCCGGGCTTTATTCTGTATTGGATCCAGTCTATAGGTGAGGGGGGTGATGTAAAAACTACATAACTAACCTTCCTTTTCTGATAAACTAGAAAAAACATCCATACCCGCCTCGAAACACCTAACCCTCTACACCGTCGGCCCCGCCACGTATCGCTCGCTAGACACCCTGCGCCAAACGCACCTCCCACACGCGCAGCTCATAGGCCGTGATGCGGGCACGGGGGAGAAGTTGGCTCATCTTATTCTCGAGCATTATAATGGACTACACAATGGCAACAATGACAACAATAATGACAATGAGCAAGATCAGGATGTAACAAAAAACAACGAACCGCAGGAGCAGCAAGAAGAACCCACGACGAGATCGCAAGACAGTCCCGCGGGTAAGAATAAGAAGGAAAAACTCCCCCTCCTCTTCCTCATCGGCGAACAACACCGCGACATCATCCCCAAAACCCTCATGGATCCCACACTACCCGCGCACCGGCGGATAGGCGTTGAGGAGCTAGTTGTGTATGAGACGGGTGTGATGGAGGGGTTTGAGAGGGCCTTTGCGGAGGCGTTGAGTGGCGCCAGGGGGGAGAATAATAGGATGGGTGATGGGAAGGATATGATGTGGGTTGTTGTGTTCTCGCCGACGGGGTGTGAGGCCATGTTGCGGACTTTGGGGTTGATTGGGGGGGATGGGCGGGGGGGAGAAGAACTACGTGATTGCTATATTGCGACGATTGGGCCGACGACGAGAGATCATCTAAGGGTGGAGTTTGGGGTCGAGCCGGATGTTTGTGCGGAGGTTCCGAGTCCGGAGGGGGTGGGGAGGGGGATTGAGAGGTTTCTTGAGGAGAGGGGAGGGGGAGGACGGGGGGGTTGATGGATAGGCTAGGTTAGGTTGGGTTATTAGGGAACTTCCCTTTCTTCTCTTGCTTGTGGTTGTATGTATGTATGTATGATATGATATGATATGATATGATAGATCTTTTTGGAGGGGTGGGAGGGGGAGAAGAGGGTTATATACTAGTATAGATGCGTTTTTATACCCATTTTCCCGCCAATTCGAGAGCATGGTATCTGCATTTAAATATCGAAACTACTATTCACATTTTTTTATACCTGCGATAGCAGCCATATTTCATATAGCTATATATACCGATTTCAACGGATTTTAAATCATTAATCACCTTGGAGCCCTCGTGTTTTATCTATATCATTTTGATAGATACATACATTAGATAAACGAGCGTCAGACACCAACTCAACACCGTCAAAGGAATGGAAAGAAGGGATAGGGCGGGATGGGGAGGGAGATAACGAAACTTCCTGTATATATAGGGGTATTGGATAATAGCCACACAGAATGGAATTAACAGATAAGAATCATTCCTAAGAGATAGGTAGTAAATAGAAGAAATCCTTTCCAAAATAAAAAATTTAGCTATACATTAATTAACTAATTATCTCACCCGCCAGTCAGGCCAGACCAGCTCCTTTAACTTCTCCATACTGAACTCAAACCCAGACAGTACAGTATGACAGTTAGTTACCTAAAGGCAAGGCGAAAGTAAGAGAGGGGGAAAATAAGGGAGGGAGAAAAAAAAAACGAAAGAATGAAAGAAAAGAATAGCAATGCTATAAACTAAACCAATCCAAATCCAAATCCAAACGACATTAGAATAAGATCAAAATAGTTAAGTTAATCCATTGAAGGTGGTGGGGGGGGGGTTCATTCCATTTTTCTATCCCTCCATCCATACCCACCCACCCATTGCTTTGCCCCTTATTCCCCTCCCTCCCAAGCTCTCTCTCAGCCAGCCAGTTCGAATCGGAACGGCTCGTCCGAATGCCAACCACTTTCATTTGATCGTAGGATATGATCATACTCTTTCCTTTCCATTCCATACATAGTTTCGTCCTCATTTGTTGTTGTTAATAATTTTCAATTCCCGTGTACAAAATAAAGCCAAACTAACTCATCACAAAAAAAAAAAAATAAAAAAAAACGCCGAATATTGCTGGGATATATAGGGAAAACTAAGTAAAAGAAAAAAAAAAAGAAAAAGAAAGATAAAAGGACGAAAATCAATAAAATTTGCGTGAAATCGCGCTGCTTGTTTCCCTCC